GGAAAGGGAGGGAGAAAAGCCACGAGGTTTAAGAGGAGAGGGAAGTACAAGAAGAGGATTACATGAATTCTGGAGTAGGGATGTCTGATTTAATCCTTCGAATGCACTACTTTTTCACAGTATAAATTTTTGCTGAATCGATTGGCTCTTGCGCAGTTTCTATCCCACTAACTCATTGTTCTTGGCGACCGACCAGCCACAGCGGTTGTCATCCCTGGTTAAAAAGAAGTCCAGCTTTTCCCACTAGCGTAATAAGGGGAGAACCCTTTAGAACAGCCTACTACCAGTTTACTGCATTTTCATCAAAACAAAAAGGACAGTAAACGAAAAAGAAAGTGGAAATAGCTCGCGACCCATTGGTGACTTGCCTGAAGCCACTTATCTCAGCCTAGTAGCCATTGGCTGGGGACGTTCATGCAGGGTTGACGAGGACGGTTACCACTGTCAACTAAAACAGCCAAATCACGAATTTGTATTAATTCGCTGGCTACAAGTGGGCCTGACGAAGGTCAATGAAGAATGCATGCCCGTGGATGCGCAAACTTGGCACGCCAGCATTGTCAACCAGAATCTTCATTAAACTTGGACTACTTCGGACTTCACACCCCATTGGACGAACCCTCCACCCTGTTCCATCAGGTATTCCTTCTCTCAGATTCTTCGTCGGCCAGGGTTCGCGAATTTCCTGGCCGCGGAGGCTGGAACTGACCTGGTAAGTCCCCACTCAAGAGGTCACGATAACTGGGCAGCGTGGGGGCTGCTTGCGGTGTTGGCTGCTCCGGCATAACCACCCTATGATTCCGTCGTCGGCTTGGTAGACCCCAGAAAACCCGAAACCCGGAACTGATCAAAACACGTGTCCTCAAGAACCCGCGTCGAATCAGCGCACGCAGTTCGCCGCGGAGGCTGACGGTGTAGGCGGACTGTGGCTGTCGTGGCCATGTACGCTTAATGCCGGGCGAAAGCTGTCTCCGCCGTCGTCTTGCTGACGCTGATGCAATACGAAAGCTCCGCATCTTTTCAAGTACTCGCTCGGGATAGACTCCAATCTCCTCGGAGGCCTCCACATATGAGGGGGGCAGGTGATGTGCAGACTCTGCAAACCCACACCGTTCTTCTTTGCGACGCCAAAAGGTCCAGGTTTTGGCATGGCGCGGTGCCTCCATCGCGTTTACGACGCTATCATATGTGGGCGGACTGCAGGGGATGTCAGAGTTAGTGCTGCTTATTGACGTTCTGCGATTGGGTGGTCGGAAGAAGCTTGCGTTCCCAGCCAGGCCTGCGCGCCAGCGACGAGGCAGGCAACAACAGCAAAACCGAAGGAAATGGGCTTGCAGACGGAAGAAGCGTCTTGGTGCAAATCTGCGGAGGATTCCAAGGTAGACAATCGCTATTAGGAGGATGGCGTTAAGTCCTGTAAAGACTATGATAGCACAGAGTAGCCAGTTCACAGAGGGGGAAAAGCACACAATCTCATTAGTTCTCTCGTCCACTGCAGGACGCCGAGGCTTAAAGGTGTATGGACCCGTCGCAGTTGCCAGTGCCATATCAAGAGGGCAGTTATAGCGCTTGTCACAGGTTAAACGGTAGTCTATGCAGTAGGCAATGTGCTCAATACTCCCACCGTCATAAATGTTCATGGATGCCCATGAGCCTGTGCACAGCAGCCACCCCGGGTTAAATATTTCACGGACTGTCCTCAACAACATCCTATCAGGGGTTGTGGAACTCACATAAGATCCTCGGGAGTACATGTGGGTAAGTTTGCAGGCGTAAGTTGGCGTCACTACCATCCGCAGGTGAAGAGCTGCTGCACTTTTTACCTCGTGTTCAACCATCACATGCAAAAACTGTATATTTTTTGGCCAAAAATAGGTGTTTATATAGGCACCATGTATACCACTGTCATTGCCCCTCAGTCTTAACGACGCTAGTAGGATGGTTTGACTTACATCAGCCAGAAAAAGTATACGAACTGAGCTGTTGTCAGGCGTCCTCATAAAGACCTCTGCCCTTTCAATGAAGATTGTAAGGAAACGAAACTGGGCGTCGTAGGGTAGAGCAAATACGAGGGAACAGCCAAACGAGTTTTCCAGTGGATTCGCTTCTTTTAGCTCAACGCCATTTTTAGGCGTAGAAAACCTGTAAGCAGACCGGGAGAAGAATGGAACCAGGGTTGTCTTCTGCTGAGCAGCCCTCACCCCAAAACATGGCGTTATCAGTCGTTCAGTTGTCTGCCCACTGCACAATGCAATCAGAAGACTGAGAGTCAAGATTTTTAAGCCTAGCTGAAGAGATTGCATTTCACAGGCACACACACACGCTTCCTTTCTTTGTGGAGCAGCGACTCAGCTGACTACCATCGTGGCCAAGTACATCAACGGATAGTGGATCGATAATCACTGTCAGATGGTACGTTCAATATCACGTGCGGAGGAGTGGAATCTTGGCTAAAGCAGCTTGCAGATACGCCAAATACGTATGCAACGCTCACCAGGGCAGAAGAGCATGCGTCCCCAAAACAGGCGGCGCCGTGACGTCAGGCCTAAAACTGTACCCTTCTTGTGTATCGCTTGGGCTGAACGATAAACTCGCGTTCTCTCCAGCAAACGCACCAGCTTGTATGGGGGACGTTTATGGTGAAGGAGTGATGCCAGGTCAGCCTCCGAAGTTTCGGTTGGCAAGACGTTCAGTTGCACGTGACCCAAATCGGAAAAGTCGAATCCAAACGCACACCAATGATTCAAACAATGTCGAGTAGGTTTTTGTTGGAGAACTCGCCGCTGAGTGGAAGACCCCATAGGCCAGGACTTGGAATATGAAGGTGGGAGAGAACATACTACAAGAAGGACCTTTATCGGCGATTTCGGACTTTGACCCTATTTGTCACCGCAAATGCAACTGGAGAAACTGCAGACCCATAAAAGGATCTGGCAGGCTGCTCTGATGAGCCGCCCAGACATGTAAATCTCCACTTCCTCCCATAGGATTTGGTTTACAAATTGACAAATCATGATACCAAGAACCAACAGAAGAAATCACATGTCCTTTAACGGGTTCATATTCTCAATCAGAAGTGCCCATCTTCGAATACAGAGCAAAAGTAGGGCACGTGAATGCGGACCACCGTTTTACAAGTGGCCTTTGCTCTAAGTCCGGGGGGGGGGGGGGTTTGTGTTTCGATTAGGGCTCTGGTCAGGCGGATTAGGGTTGGGATTATTAGGGCTAAAGTTAAGACATGGGAATAGGTACCCGTGGAATCTGGTGCAAGGCCGGCTGTAGTATGGGGGGCCTTACTTCCGTGTTTAACCCAGAGGTAAAATTGACCATTCACCCAGACATAAAGGTAAGCTTCAGAGACAAGAAGGCGTGGTGCGAGTCTGTCTTGTCTCGTCTCCTCCGGCAGACGGGGGAGAATGAAGGTCACCGTGTCTGTGGCGTGCGCCGCGCCCACGCTAGAGTTTGGTGCGGACCTCAGCTAGTGGGTACTTGGCTGTTGATTTTCTCTCCAGCATCTAGCCGGTATGGCTGAGCATGGCAACGTGGGCAGGACGTCAATATGCCGATGGACCGATTCGATGTCCAAAAGAGAGGTCAAATGCATAAAGCGCTTCGAGCGGCCGAACCCACGTCTGACTCCTGCTCACACTGACGATTGTGGTCATGTCCAAGCAGGTAGGCCCCAGCAGTGTTTCACATACCCTTTTCATCAAAAGGGGACCCCAAAAAATAACCTTGCCAGGCCATTCAGAATCAGACGATATCTGTACTGTTCAAATCCTCCCTACCTCTTTTGATATACTGCAAGTTAAATAAAGCCCAGAGCGTAAGCTAACTCACATGAAATTTGCAATTTTTCATCGTATTTACAAGATCGAGTCTGACTTGGGAAATCTTTCGCGCTGCCGATGTTCTGGCCATAAGTCGTTGAATGCAATTCAAAACATGCTGGCCAGAGGAGGGGACTAGCGTTATGAGATTTCCGAAATCCAAATTAGTGCGCCAACACTGAACCAGCACACTGTCCTCCTGGAAAATCAATCCTGATATTCAAAGAAATATTAGGAGTATGAGCAGTTGTCGCACCCCAGTCAGGCGTAAATCATCAAAGTTATTTTCAAGGAAAATCAGAATAGTCTTTCCTTGGCTCCAGACAGCTTCTCAAGTATGCGCGAAACCTCAATCGCTTCGTATAGTCGAGCTATTAGGTTCATCACCGAGTCGTTCCGTCATCGTCCTCTAACCGAGACTCCTTTTTAGTCCTTATCAGTCGAAACCGTGACTCATCGGTCCAAATAACTTTTGCCTTTTGGGGAAGGGACCAAGCCATATTCTTAATCCGCGACAGCCTTCTATCAAGAGGCACTGCAATCATAGTGTTTGTCGTTAATGGGCGTTTTTTTATTTGCGTTGCCTGCTGTGCTTGTAGCATCTGTTGCCGGACCTTCAGTGTCCTGTCCGGCGGTCCAAGACATGCACTTTGGACCTTGTGCGGTCGAGTCCGTCATGCAGGATTTTTGTCTGATAACTGGTCCGGTACCATGCTACTTTGACAGAGTTTCCGCGCTGACGTATGACCTCAATCTGGTTAGGTCGGTTGGTCATGAATCCGGCAGTAGATCGAGCTGGATATTCGCTTACCAGCGCATACACTGTTGTCCACAAAAAGCCCCACTTTTCACGCTTTATGAAGGTGATAAAACACTTTTGGACAAACGTAAGTGAGCCAGTTTAGGTCTGCATGTGAAAAAAATCTGCATTATGGCCGAATTTATTCGCCATTACCACCCTGTGGCCAATATTCTTCTTCTTCTTCTATTCAAAAAGCTGACTATTCGTCTAGCGGAAGTTGCGCTTACTTATTTGTTTGTCTTTCTTAATGACCCTGTATACTACCTTTGTCTCAGATGCCCCAAGGAAAATGAAGTTCCCGCGGAAACGGTCCTGTTGGAGAACACTAATACCCTTCGTTTTACCTTGCGTTTTATCACAACGTTTGGATATTTTTTCACAGAAAATATTGGGCACATCAGAATAAAAACGCCTTCTCTCTCCGTCTCTCTCGATTTCTATCAAATCAACATTTTCTATAGCACTTACAGCTGATTCGTATTTTTTAATGTTCTCATGCTCAGACGCGAGTACGGACGGAATCTCAAATGTGGAGCAGATCGACCATCGACGCAGTTTAGTAATCCAACGTACTCGGTTTGTGTCAGGCATATTGGGGAAGATAGCTTCTTAAAATAGCGGCTACTTAGTTTCGGCGACGGAAAGGCAGGCTTGGATTGGACTGTGGCGGAAGGGCATTGCCCCCTCCCCAGGCAAGCGATTTCGTGGTGTCATGTACAAAACTGGATCTATCATGTGTGTACGTTTGCGGAGTTGAGTGGATAAATTTGCGTTTTTTTATGTACTGAATCACCTAGTGTGTGTGGGATGCGCTTATAAGAAGAGAGAGATACCGAGTCATCCACGGTCGCCCAACTTATTGCCAATCGCCTTGATTAAGTCTGCCCACTAGGTGATGGCAGAAAAAATAAAGGAGACGAGGCTGCGAAAGCCTCCTTCGCTGAAACCAAATTCATGTGCCGGTTGCCACTACTGTCCAAAGTGTGCTGGCCGTCATCAGTGAATAGGGAAAAATTACCGGAGTGGAATGCTTTAGCCTTTATTTGAGATGGTCACCAACGCCCGGCTCTCCCCCAGTCCTTCGTCCCTCTCCCTCCCCCCATCCTCTTCTTCACTTTTATCATCGTTTGCGAACCACCGTCCAAAGCGAATCGAAAGGAAGTACTGGTCTAGGGGTGGATCGGATAAAAGGGACCAGTATGTAGCTTGGCTGATCGCTTAAAGCTAAGACAATGTCATACGGGTTGTCTGACCGGAACGAATTTACAAGGATCCTCAGTTTTGTACTTCCCATGTAGGGAAAAGGCTATATTCTTCTACAACATTTAGAAGATATCATATATGGAGCTCGTAAAAGTCTGAAATGGATGTGTACTAGGCCTTTATACGTCATGTACGGCGTTAATAAAGGGGCAGATACGATGCAATTTGAATGGACATGGAGCGGTCTTAAATTATCGCATGATCGGAAACGTTTTTAAAACCCAAACCTACCTTCCTTTGAGTACAAAGTATAAAATGAATATAAAAAACCGAAATGCTTTTCTGCCAACTGAGTGCAAAAAAGACATTTATGTTAATCTTATTTAAAAAAATACATTTGAATTCACAGGGACAACGAGAACTAATGTGGAAATCTCGTACTACTTATTTTTACTAGGTGTACTTTCTGCAGGCGGCCGAAGAGGAATGCATTAGGAAGCCAGCATCCTTTCGCGCCCGAAATATCTTGGGACAATGCCGCACGATAATCAGTATCACAACTTCACTCAAGTGATCCTTCCTAATTGAAAACGCATCTCAGAATTTCGGTTAACATTTCACGAGGTCGGTCATTGGCTGGTAACCAAGGCATTGGGTGGTCAAGTGTTTGGGTGACCCCAGAACCAGCCCCATAGGATGGATATAAATATGGGAAACACCGGGCGATTTTCGGCCAATTCGGGATAGAGCTCTTCATTAACCGTGGTCAGGATACAAATAATAAATGTTCACATTACTCCACGCG